TCTAACTTTTTTATTTTATTAAGTTCTCAAAATATTTTTATTTTTGAATTCAACTCAGTTTTCTTTCTCTTATATTCTCCAATACACTTGTTAATTCGTCTTTAGAGAGGACATGTGCAATCACATCCATGACCGTCAGATCAAATTATAGATAACTTAGACAAAATTAAAAAATATTTTAAATACTTAATAACTTCTTCTAATAAAAATTTAATTAAAAGTATTTAAATTCATTAGATACTTTAAACTTAATATGTATTGAAATAATATTGATTAACAGGTTTAAATCCTAATTATTTCAATAGAACTTTAGAGAATAATCAGGTAAGTTCATGTACAATATGTTAGTCTCTTTTTTAATGTTAAATAATCACCATTTATATTATGATAAAAAAAGGTAATATTCTTCTTATGTCATCTCAAAGTTGAATATACATTGGTTTGATTTCAAGCCAAAAAAAAAAGGTAATATTCTTCTTATGTCTTCTTCTTATTACAACATGTATGAAACTCTTTATGATATGATGGTGTTGTAAAAAGGCAATAACTATAAATTAACTATTTTCTTTTTATTTTTTTCTAACAATTAAACTGTTTAAATTACTTACTAAAGATTAATTTTGTAGGTAACATCTCCGATATTTTTCATATAAATAAATTTATATATATATATATATATATATAAGTAAATATCTCCAATTTAACCAACTCAAAATTACATCCACCTACAAAGTAATATTTTATTAATAATAAACTCATAATGTGAGTAATCTCTCATAATAGATGTTCTAAAGTTGCTAATAAACTCTTTAGCTTAGTTGATTGAAAATGTCTTGGTAATTTTTATCATATCTATATTGAAAAGTGTTTTAGAAAAATAGTGAATTATGGAAGGGTATATATGTTTGGATTTAAGTTTAGTAAACAGTTTTATAAATTTAAATCCATAATATTGAATTGTAATGCACCAAACGAAGAAAAAAAAACGTGTTTGCTTGTTTACAGTAAAGTACATTTTATTAAGTTTAATTTAAAATTGTTCGTTATGATTTAATCAAGTTATAAATTTTCTACGTTACTTCTGATTAATCTGTTTAATGCTAAGTCCTTTATTAGTTTTTTAGAAACCACTTTTACTATACCATATTTAAGTTACTTTTATTAATGGGCATAAACTGTTTCAGAATAACATAAATAGTTTAATTGTTATGTGTGTTATTTTAATTTCTGAAATAGTTACTTCACATTTCACATCTATAAAATAGAAAATGGAATCAACATTTCTTAATAAACCTTGGAATAAGTAAAGATTCAACACAAGACAAGATCAATGGCTACTCTAATCGGTGCAAATGATTCTTCTCCCATTGAAGACGCTCAAAATATCAAGAATGCATGCAAAGGTTATATTTTTCCAATTTTATGTTTCTTTATGTAACTTTTATGGTGCATATATAGTATGCTTCTCTTGCACAATATACACATACATCACCATACTATATGTCTCAATGAGAAAAATCAATATATTAACCATACTTTTTTTCAAAAATCTCTTCAAAAAATTAAGTAAAAAAAATCATAAATATTAAACTTAAAGTTTTTTTTATATATATAGAAATATTGTGTAAGATCTTTTATTTGAACAAACTAACTTTATATATCACGTTCATGAGTGTAGAAACTAACTTGTGAAGACATCTAAGCATGTTTTGTTTCCAATAATGCATGATTCACAGGATTGGGGACAGATGAAGCAACCCTTATATTCATACTGGCACACCGAAATGTTAGTGAAAGGAAGCTTGTGAGGGAGGCTTATGAAGAAATTTATCATGAAGATCTTATCCAACAACTCAAATCTGAACTTTCAGGAAGTTTTCAGGTCAAACTATATTACAATTCATTGCATTATAGTTTTTTAAATATAGGTGCAAGATGAAGTAACTTGATCATTATCTTTTTCATTTTGAATAACATCAAACTTTTTGGATACATGTATCTGATAACTGACATTGTCATTGGTAAATATGATACCTGAATTAAAATCAGAGAGGTATTTGCAATTGGACGATGGATCCAGCCGAAAGAGATGCTGCATTCATTAAGGAAACACTGAAAAAGGAGTATGTGGATTACAAAGTAATTATTGAGATTGCTTGCACAAGAACTTCTGAAGAGTTTTTGGCTGTGAAGCGTTCATACCAACTCCTGTACAAGCATTGTCTCGAAGAAGATGTGGCCTCCAAAACAATTGGTGATATTCGTAGAGTAAGTCCAATTTTACAACAAAGCATTGTCATGCTTTTATGAATTTTGCTCTTGTCTTATGATTCCTTTATATGCAGTTGTTGGTTGCAGTTGTAAGCATACATAGGTATGAAGGAGAGGAGTATGACGAGAGTCTGGCCCATTTGGAAGCAAACATTCTCCATGATGCAATTGAGAAGAAGGCTTTCAATGATGAAGAAATCATAAGAATTTTATGCACAAGAAGCAAGAAGCAGCTATCTGCAACTTTTAGTACCTTCAGAAACACTTATGGCACAACAATCACCAAGGTAATATGTTGTGTTTATTCCATTTAGTTTTGCTCTTGAAGATTAGCAAACTCATAAAGTATATGAAAGTAACCATACATTGGCATTCTTGTGCAAATTTGTAGGGATTATCATCTGATCCAAGTGATGGATACATGGTAACACTGCGTACTACCATTCGTTGCATTAAGAACCCTAGAAGATACTTGGCAAAGGTAGCAATAGAGTCATCAAATTCTCTAGTTTATGGTTTATGTTAAATAAGTTGTATTGATGATGTATTCACTGAATTAATTAGGTGTTAGGGTACGCCTTGAATGATTTGATAGCTGAAGAGAATGCATTGAGCCGTGTTATCATCACTCGAGCAGAGAAGGATTTAAATGAAATCAGTGACATTTACTTCAAGAGAAATGGTGTCACACTTCATAATTCTGTGGCCAAGAAGACATCAGGAAATTACAAGACTTTTCTTCTTGCTTTGTTAAGAAAAAATTCAGTTTAATCTATTTATGTTTAGGGTTGGCATGAGTTCATAAAATTATGTTTATCTTTAATCCACTCTGTTAAATAAATTATCAAATCATTATCTTCAGTTGAATAAAATTTATTAATCTTTCTTTGTCCATTTTCTGGTAACATTTTCCACCATTCCAGTATTTTCAAGTCCTCAAGAACATGTTCATCAATTATATAAGAATTATATAAGTAAATCACTTTTTTCTAATAATAATCGTAAGATGGCATATTTTATATTTATTTGATATATAATACAAAGGCAAGATGGTGATAAAAAAAATTTTATTTTTCAAAAATTAAAAAATAAAAAGTATAAAAGAATAATATTAAATAAATGTAAAAAATTATGTGTATAAAAATATATTTTTTTAATAATATGTATAAAAGTGAGATCATTTAGAGGTAAAGGTGGAATGTTGACTTCTCAAAACTTTTCTCTCCCTCTGATTTTTTTTTTAATATTTTCTAAAAGATAGGGCTATTTTGACATCTAAAACTATTTTACTGTAATTTATTAATTGTATTTGTAATATTTTTTCTCCACTAACGATTCATTATCATACATTAATATTATTAAAGAATTATCTTTCACTGATTCTCAAGTGCTTTTAGAATTTTGAAACTATAAATTTCCTTTTTCAAGTTACAACACTTCCTCCCTACAAAAGTTTTATCTTTTAAAATATATTAAGTGGATAGGCCGTGGCTATTCAATGGTAAAAGATAAATGCTATCATCTCTTCCATCTATCATTATCCTTTCCAAAGATTATTATTATCTCTTTTAAGATAATAATATATTTTTTTATTATTCATTAAAATCAATTCAAAAGTATAATAAGAAAACTTTAGAATAAAAGGTTAATTTAAGACTCATTTTTTTTGTATTTTTAATAAATTTAAAAGATGTTAGAGAAAAAAAAGCTAAAATGATTATCAGATTTTTATAAAAAAATTTAATTAGATTCTTAATTTTTATTTAGTTGAATTTATTTTTTAATTTCTAAAAAGATTCAATTATATCTTTTATATTAAACTAACGTTTTTAGATTTATGTTATAATTTTTACATCAAATTAATTTTAATTTAATTTTAATTTTAATTTAATTTTAATTTTAATTTTAAAATAAAATTATTTAATGTATAGATTGTAATGAAAATATAATATTAATATTTCCATAATTAAATTATTTAAAAACATTAAATGATTAAATTGAATAAAATAAACTACTACATAGTCTCAACCAAAATCCAAATATAAGTGTTATCATTATTATTTATGAAAATTGAAAAATTCAATTACATGTCATTGGATGAATTATATTATACTGATAACACAACAATTCTATAATTTCTTCTGAAAAATGTCTTATTAATATTTTTATAAATTAAACCCATTTTATTCCATTTTAATATTTTACTATATCTCTGTTTTTATCTAACACCACACTCTTTCTAACACATTCTACTTTTTGTTGAAATTTATTCAAAGTTAGTAAAAGAACAAAGATAATAAAGAGACCTACACAAATTTCTACTTTCTAATAAATATAAGTCAACAATAAAAATTAGAAGTGTTATAAAATATGATGCAAAAGAAAAAACAAGTTTTGTAATGTAAAAAGTTAATTTAACCTTTTGCTTTTTAAATTTGGCAGTGTTAACACAGTTTGATAAAGTGTACACTTTCACAATTTGATTAAGAAGAATATGTATATATTAATTATTAATTTAAATCTGAGTCCAGTTTATCTTAATTAGGTTGTTGTGTTCTATATATGTTTTGGATTGAGCTATGTCTACAATGTACAGTATTTGTTAGCAATTTATTTATAACAGTATTTCCGTAGAAATTGATGTTTTATAACTGGTGCAAAGATTTGACATAGTTGTTTACGAATACTCAAGTTTATTCCAAGTTGAATGCAAACATTCTATTCATGAGTAGCTAATAGCAAATGGAACATAGATTTATATAAAACTTAGTTTATTCAAACAGTTGGATAAAACTGAAAAGACAGCAACAAAAGACAAATGCTTGACAGACTATCTAGATCCCTGCTTTTATTTGAAGGGAAGCTTGCAGATATATAGCTTCTTATGAAGAAGAGCCATTGTCACATGCTTCCACTCTTCCATGCAAAGGATCTTGCACACCAAATTTACTTCACTTTCTTGATCCTTGCCAGGCAGTTGTCAATGGGCCTTGTGTGAGGAAGGAATTTCATGGGAGCAAGTGGATTAACCTGTTCAAGCCTGAAAAAATAACAACATTTGTCAACACAAGTAGAATGAATGAAGTAATAGATGTAATAAGGTTGAGTGGATTAAGGATGGGGAAAATGTTTACTGGTAGCCCAGCAGAAAATGATGAAGGAAAACTGAGATTTCCAGCTTGGCAAGATCATTCCCAGGACAAAGTCTAGTTCCTGCTCCAAAGGGAAGAAATTCTCCAGCCTTGCGCACCTCCTATCATTTATGGATCATCATTAATCAATAAAATAGTCAAAAACACAGAACCATACGTTAATCTGTTCATTTCAAATGTATAGATTGAATCTTTCCAACTTACACTAAATCTCTCAGGATCAAATTCCTTAGGATTAGGATATATAGTGGGATCAAGGTGAACAGACCTAAACCACGTCATTACTTTCCAACCTTTTGGAACCAGGTAACCTGTAAGATCAAAATCCATGCAAGTGTATTAATGAATAACATGTTCTATGAAAAAAAAAAAACAAGCATATCAGGTGTATCACTACAAAACTCAGAATCCAACTATAACAAGTACATAATTGTATGTTCTATGAACTAACCATTGATATTGACATCATTTTTGGTAACCCGAAAGACCATTAGTGAGAATGTGATTATCCGCATTGTTTCATCAACCACCTTTGCAATGTTAAACAAATCAAAAAAGATATATCATATAATCACAAGACATCAATTATAGTTGAAAGTAACCTTTAATCAACCATATGTATTGTACCTTGGATAGATATTCCATCTTCCGAACTTCTGCAAGTGTCAACCCTTTCTGTGTTGGAGGCCTTTTCCTTAAAATTTCTTCTTGTTCTTCCTGTTCAAACAAATGAACAATGCTAAGATAAATATGAATTTGTTGGGTTAAGGTAAGGGTAGGACACAGAGACCTATCCAGGTTGATATTATAAGTACACGTGAGTTGATGATAATGAAGAAATTTGGTACATAGTTGATACCTTAGCCTTCTTGAAATATTCTGGGTGCCTTTGGAGGAAATAGGTTGCCCATGTAGTAATATGTCCAGAGGATTCATGACCAGCATTCAAGTACATCAACATGATATCAATCACATCTTGGTCACCCAATTTTTTTCCATTTTCATCTTCAGCATCAATCAGAGCATCCATCATATCTTTGGGCTTTTTGCCAGGTAATCTTTCCCTCCTTTCACTTCTTCTTTTATCCACAACAGATTGAAATATGGCCACAAGATTATTCCTTGCCTAAAATTAAAAATCAAAATTAAACCATAAGATATTGGCTTGCATCTAAAGAGGAAGTTCAGGAAGGTGATAAAAACAAAGTTACCTTGAGAGCTGTATGGAAGGCAAATCCAGGAATGTTAATTCTCATGGCTCTAACTCCATAGTTGAGTTTGGTGTATTCTTTTTCCAAACTCTCCATTACTAAGTCACTTTCTGCACCTAGAAAAATGTGTATAATGACTTTGAAAGTAAGCCTGCGCATCTCAGTCAAAAACTCAATGTTTCCCATGGTAGTCCATTTCTCCAGTGAACCTTTGACAACTTCTTCAATAAATGTAATGTAAACAGAGAGAGCTTCATAACCATTGATGGAAGCAGATGTTAGACGCCTAAGGCGTCTGTGTTCATCATAGGGTATTGAAATGAAAGATTTTTCTCCCATAAGCTCTACCGTGGAACGAGGCCATCCAGGTTCGAAGTTGTCATCATCTGTCAACACCTTTTTGCATGTTTCTGGGGTTGTCACGATTACACTTGGTTTTCCAAACATCAACACCTTGTATATCCCAGTCTTTCCATACCTGCATTGTTCAATGCATTCAAAAATGTTACAAGTAATTGACATTCATTATAATAGTGGGGTTTGATGCCATTTGAGGTGAGAAGTCAACAATATTAAAAACTGTGAAAATCAGGTTATATTTATAAAGCCATAAAATAGTTGACAGCTGTTAAATAATTAGAAGTCAAAGAAAAGGTACTAATAAATGCAATATCTAATACAATTTTTTCAAAGAATTTTCTAAAAAACTGCATCCATTTTTTGGTTTTAGCAAAATAAGCACAGTTTTGTTTGAGTCCCTCAGAGTGACACAAGAAGACAAAAACCACCGGAACAATGTTTATGTTGCTGGTGTTTGAATTGGGCTGGACCACCTTAATCAGAAGATGGTGAGAGGCCCACATTCACATGCTGTCTTTTACGTGTTAGGATAAACGTCAAAAACAAAACACAGACAAATGAATGTATGCTTTCCAACACAAGTAAATTAATGATGCTGATATAAGATTTCAAAAGATGAGAAAAATTCATGTGTGAACTACAACAGAATACAAAATCATTCAAAATAGACTTTACACTCTGAAGCAAAAACAATATTTTGATCAAGGAATTAAACTTTTTAATTAGCATATGTTTAGAAAAAGAAAACTGACAGTTTATGCAGCTAATATGATACAAGGCAATCTAGTAAGGGAAAACCTCTGGATCCAGAGCAAGTAAGAGTAATCATGGGGACAGCGTTTAATTTCTGTCCAAAAGCTTGATTTTAGAAGAAAACATGCATGCATTTGAAAAAAAAAGTCCACCTGAAGGTGAAAAGTTTGGATAATATGTACAATATATGAGTGAGATTTTATATAGAAACTTTGAAAACAGACATGAGATTGCATGTTCTCAGTACACCTGGTACAAAAAACAGTACATGCTGTCAAAAAAGTGTTTGGTAGATCTATAGAAGATCATGAGTGAGATCTTAATAACGAAGAATTTGATATATATACAAGATCATAAGCTCAAATCAAGCACAATACAAACTAAACAAGAAAAAGAAAAGGTTTTAAGAATAATAGACATGAGATCAAGATTGAAATCTTAGCACCGAAGAATTTGGAGAACATGCATGGTATTATAAACATGAAATGATGAGTGAGATCTGAGTTTTGGTAACATGCATGAGGTATATGTAAATGAAAAAGAGTGTGTAGAGTAAATAGTTTACTTGGAATAAAAGGAGTCTATGAAAGTATCAGGATTAGTGGTTTTGAAAGCAGAGAGGAAAGACCACATGTTGCCGATTATGGGCCACCCCATATCACCAGGAGGAAGAAAGTATTGCTTCCCACCCAGCTTGTATTCATAGAGCAACCAGTTTACATTCTTGAGGATGAACCTTAGGGCTAAAAGAGCACCACCAGCATACAGTAACCACGAACCACCCTCCATCTTCAACATAACTCACTCTCTCAAAACCTATCTAAGCTAGAAGAGAAGGAGTGAACTGCAACTCAGAATGAAAGAAACTATAGCAGTGGCCTGTCTTATATACTGATTTCTCTTCAGAAATTTTACATTTTTTAATATTTTTTTAAGTCTTAATCACTTTTTTAATTGAAAAGGTTCAGAAGTAGAGATATATCAGAGGTATATCAGAGGTCATTGCTAACGTACCACTGACAATCTCATGCAAAGGGTCTTTTTAGTCTTTTTATTTTTACTTCTAATAAGGGATGAATAACAATCTCATATTTTTCTACTTTTTTTAACATAATTTAATACCGGTAGGTAACTTATCCTAATTAGCTTTTATATATTCTTTATTATTTTATCTTTATATTTTGTATTCTTAACTAATTTAAAAATATTAATAAATTTATTTTATAATGATCTCTGCTATTTCTATGTTGTGAAATATTTTTTATTTTTTATTAGACTCAAATGCTTTGCAAGAAAAAGCTGTGTAAATGAATAACAATGAAAAAAATTGTTAGGCTAACTTTTTGCTGAGTGATTATAATTTAAAACAAATGATATGTTAACTTTTTTCATGTTATTATGAAATTATGTATTCAGAGATAATAAAGAAAAATTATCATGTTAATGAATTATGTAAACACATAAATACGCAGCCACTCAACCACTTCTCTCAAATTTAAATACTCAATTTGTAAAAGAGGGAAAAAAAATAAAGAAATAAAGAAAAATTATGAAAAATTATGAAAAATTAAATTATTTGGATTAAGGAAAAGCTTTTTTTTAGTAAAGAGTGAAGAGAAGAATGTTAAAAGTTTATAAGTGATTTGAAGTGATTTGATTTACGTAATATATTGACTTTTTTCTATATTATATGTTTGAAAACTAATTTAATGTAAAAAATAAAACTTAAAAATATAAATTAAAGTTAAAATCAATTTTAATTTAAAATAAGAAATTGTTGTTAAATCTTAATAAACAAAAATGTTATATTTTAATATAATGTTATATTAAAATAAATTATTTTATAAAATATAAAAAATTTAAATTAACTAATTTTATTTTATCATTTTTATAAGTTAGAAGAGTGATGATACTTCTTTGTTTTAATATATAATATTATAACATATTAATAAAATATCAATAATACAACTATGAAAAATTATTTTGAAATATATTCCAGGGTGAAGGAAAATAATGATCTTTGATGTATCTTTTATTTTATCGTTATTCATATGTATAATATAACATAATATATAAAAATCATCTGCAGATCATTGTTTCCTGGCTATGAAAGTTTAATGTGCAACAAATCATTGTTTTTGGAGAATTCACAGTGAATTGATTATTTTTTGTGAACTTAAATTTAAAAGTTCCATCTCACTGTTTCTTAAACAAAATGGTGATAATAAAACATCCTAATCAAATCACTATGTAAATAAATGTACCTGCAACAAATTTCAAATTTGTTCAATAATTATCCCATCTCATTCTTCATATATCTTAAAAAATGGGCCAATAATAGTTTAAAGTGATTTTAAAGAATTACACTGAAACCAAACAAGAATTTAAATATAATCCTGATTTTTTCCTCCATCCCACCACAAATGTGTTGGATTCTATCATCCCTATTTATGAGATAACTTTGTAAATTGGAATAAATTATAGGAAATTATCTATAAAACAATTTATATAAAACTGTATAAAATAATATTGCCTACGTCCCCTTGTATTCGATAACATGATTTATCATATTTTATAATTCTCTATTTTTAATCACAAGATTTATAGTATTAATTATTCTAAAAATAAAACTTTCAAAAAGATTATATTGATAATATAATTTTTAACCTTCGATGCGCCAACCTTGGATAAATTAAATTAGGTTTTTAACTTAGATTGGGAAACTTACTTATGACAACTTGTTTAACATATTTAATGTAAACAGAGACTGTTTCATAGCCATTGATGGAAGCAGACGGTGGATGCCTAATGGATCTGTGTTCTGAAATGAAAGACTTTTCTCCCGTGAGTTCCAATGTGAACAGACCATCGTTATCATCAGTCAATACACTTTTTGTGCATGTTTTTTCACCACTACATTTGCATTTCCAAACATCACATTGTACATCCCAGTAGTCTTTCCATACCTCCATTGTTCATCATACCTCATGGTTTTCTTATCTCCCATGTTCACTTTTCATTTTTTCCAAGGTAATGTAGTATCTAGAAAACAGCCACACAGTCAAAACTAATTAAACTTAGTTAAGAAAATTATTTATATAATGAATGTAACATTTAACATTATAAAATGTGTCTTCATTTATTATGATGTTATAACTGCCATACTCTGATAGCCTTGCACACCAATTGATGATATAAAGACAATATTCAAAATAATATAATACATTAACCCTTTTTAATGATGTAAAATATTTTATTTATTTATTAAGAGGGAAGTAAACGACCTATGCTAGTTGAGGTGTGTGTAAATTAGACAGATATAACCTTTATTACAGTTATAAGATAATTGACAACTTTTTAAATAATTACCAGTAAAAAAAATACTAATAAATGCAGTATTTAATTCTTAATTTTCCTATGTGAGAGAACTCCCAAAAGTCCTGCACGCTTTTTTTGGTCTTAGCAAAATAAGCACAATTTTATTGGGAAGTGGATGATGATTTTGAAGTAACAGGATGAACCCCTCAACTTGATACTGTGCTGTGTCTCTCAAAGTGGCACAAGAAGACAAAAGTCACCGCAACAATGTTATGTTACAGGTGTTTGGACTGCACTAAACCATCATAATCACAATATGAGAGGCCCGCATTCACATGCTGTGGTTAATGTGTTGAGAGCCTAACATAAAAAACAAAACAGATCAATGAATGTATGCTTCCAAACAAAATCTTTTTTTTCCAGCAAAGATCAAAATACTATACATAGGTACAATGGGTACCAAGCCTTCTAAGGAGCAACATTTGACAAACTCTAAATAATAACAGATCAACCTGTTCCATATACAGCATCAGTGTTACGTACAACATGTCTGTTATTATCACTATTGTTAACCCGACCTTATCTAAGCCTTCATCCTAAAACTGTGTATCAGCTTCTACAGCAGGGAAAGAAGCATCAAAAAGTAGGTCCAACCTAAAAATTTTACTGTTACCTAGACATGTCCTATACTAGATCCTCTTCACACTCTTCAAAACCTCCTCTGCATGAAACATCACTGTCACAGTAATACTCCAGGCCATATTTATATTCTCTATGCGTAGACAGGTAACACCCCCAATCAACTACCAGCCGGTTGCTTTTGTCAGATCCCCCAAGCACTGATCAGTCGTCACACCATTGCATGAATAAAGAACATCTGTCCTTATCTATCATCTTATTCCACTTCCAAGCATATCCCTTTTACTTGTTGAATTACTTCCTATCGGCAAAACTCCTTCACCTCCATCACACATCTATACCTTTCTTCCACATCTCTTTGTTAATAGTCCACAATTAAGTTTATCTGCCATATCTCACAATTTAATGGTTTACTCCTCTTCCTGTTGAGATACTGATGGAAGAATTTTGTGCCATTATCACCTTCCTCTAACCACCTAATTGCTGATTGTGATGTATGCTTCTGAAACATTGAGAAAACTTCATGTATGGACTGTAATAGGATAAATAATCATTAAAAAAATGGATTTTCACTCTCCAAGCAATTCAGAACTAATATTTTAATCAAGAAATTAAACTTGTTAATTAGCAAAAGAAAATGGCAGTTTATGTGGTTAATATGATACAATTTCAATCCTGTAGGGAATAACCCATGGATTAGAGCAAATGAGAGCAACCTAGGAACAGTGTTTAACTTTCTTTTTTATCAAAAGCTTTTTAGAAGAAAACTTCATGTATTTGGACAAAATTTTCACCCAGAGGTGGAGTGTTTGGATAATATGTATGATATAATGCGTGAAATTTTTTTTACTTGAGAGTTTGAATAAGAATAATATGTATGAGATAAATTCTAATCTAACTCGGTACAGCTAGTATGTAAAAAGTATGTGCGGAGAGTTTGGTTAATATATAATGGAGAGTTAGGATATATGTAAGAGATCATAAGCTCTGATCAAACACAATACCATTAGTTCAAATATAGTGTGTTATTTTAACTAAGTATTAATAAAAAAAATTTCTAGCCAGCGTAATAATATTTTATCATTATTTGAGATATTTAATATTTTTCACTTTTGCTAATTGTCATAAATACCAGTCACAAACTTATTATTCTTAGTATTTGTATTTTGTAATGCTCTTTCATTCCAAGGATGTGAAAAACATTTTGTTTTTCATTAGCCTTATATGTTCCAAAACAAAAAATAGTGTTTAGCTTAAACGGCTAGTAATAAAAAATTCATGTTAGTCTGACGTTTTTTCGGATCAATTATATGAAAAATTAAGTTTGACGTTTGAAGTTTCATACTAAATGAAAATGAGTTATGAAAGCAAGTTAGATGAACAAAATATAATAGAAAAAATCACAAAATCATTATTTCAAAATTTTGGATTGAAGTTGTTTGAAATTAACTTGTTATTCCTTTCTCTTTGTCAGAAGAGCATTTAAAAGTTGTTTCTGCCGCCTCTCATCGAGTCTGTGTGCTACCATTGCTGTCCAGTTCTTAGACAAGTGGAAATAGTCTAGGATCTCAAAAAAAAAATATAAAGTTTTGGGGTTAGGGTGATAATATGGTCCTAGTTCAATCACAATCCATTTTTATGGAATTTTGGAGATCATGTACTTTAAAAAAACCCCTTTAACATTAGGAATGATAATGGGTCGGATAGAACACATATAGTTTATACTCGCAATCTGATCTGCAGAATAAAATTGTATCCATCCGTTGGATACCTGCAAAAAAAAATCTATGGATTTTTTCAACCCGCGAGTATTCGTTGGATACCCGATTTCAACTGACCAATATTTTAAAAATATTATTTTATAAGTTTTTAAATGAAATTCAAATTAAATTACA